CCTGTTTATTCCCAGGGTTTTTTTTTTTTTTTTTTTTTTTTTTTCTTTTTTCCCTGTGAATTAAGAAGTGGGTTTTGATCCATAAATAAGGCGCCAAGGAAAAGAGTGTACTCCAAGCTTATGAATGGTCCTAAGCAAGATCATTTTGAAGTCTTTTAAAAGAGCTGGCTTTACAGAAATTTTAAGCTACGTGTAACATAGTGCATCTTTTATGTATTTAAAACATGGCATGGACTTCATTAACTAAGCCTGGAAACTTTGGTGAAACTACCTGTGACCAAATATTTTTATAAATCTCAGTATCTGAGTCTTAAGGTCAAAATCTTGCACAGAAGGCAGCTTAATTTACCTAAAAATATTAAATTCAGACTTCTGCACTAATCAGTCTGCTTTGCACCACTTCAGAAATACCCAAAAGAGGAAAAGGARCTGATTTAACTAGCTGCCAAACTTCGAACCCAGGAGTTCATGGACTCTTGACAGAGTTCAATGACTCACACTGTCTTGAGCATGATTTATACATTTGCTATAGCTGGGTCAGCAGGAGAAAGACATTGGAAAGAAACATGTTAAGATGCATAAGAAAAAGGATGGAGAATCTGCACTCATAAGAGAAATTAATAATTTGCACTCATTGCTGAGAAAATATATTTCCCAGGTCTGGGAACATCACAGCAGTGCAATAAAAATTATTAGAGGCAAAGAATAATCCTTGTGTAAACCAAATGTGAGGAATTCAATACTTTTCACCTGAAAAAATAAGCTTAAGGATAAGAAAAATATTTGACTGAAACACATATTGGGAGAAATTAAATAAAATCTCTTAAGTCCATAAATACCTTCTCTCCCTTTCACCTGCAATAAGAGATAGGAAACTTTTGGTGAAGTGAAAAATTCATCATGCTGGGAATGATTTTGACTTTGAGAAGTTTTAATATAAGCTAGTCYGAGAATTCTCAAGGGAGATATAGATGCAATGCAAATAAATTTGGAGAAAAAAAAAAAAAGAGGGTATAGTACTTAAAAATTATCAAATCTCATGTTTCACTGTGGAAATAGTCCTTTAGCTACTAGAGGCTGAGGTTCCACCTGTATTACACTGTGCTCTGGCCCCTTCCATGTGTTGGGGACAATTTTCATGGAGTAGCTGATGTCCCTCTTGGCTCCCAAAAGATGGGGACTGCATCAGACTGAAATGGTCTCTGATCCTGGTCACTCCTAAGCTGTGCCTGGGGACTACCCAGGAATTGTCCCTTGTCAAAAGTCTGCCAGGAACAGCTTTAGCAGTTTAGCAGCTCTGGTGCCAGGATCATTMCCTTGTGCTCACTGATGAGGACAGATGTAGCCTAAGGCACCATACCCTGAGGGATAAATTACCAGCCTGTTCTAGGTTTTTGTGCTTTCCTGGGCAGTCCCTGTTGCTAGCCTCTTGGAAAGTGAAAGGATGGAAGATGGATCTGAAACCATGGTGTTCCTGAATTCCCACATGAATTCTTGCTGCCAGCTCTCTTCAGAGAAGAGGCTGCTGCTGAAGAATCACTGCCACAGCAAAGCTAGTTTTTTTTTGCTGTTTGAGGAAGGACCAGACCAAGATCTGCTTGCATGCTTTATTCCTACAGCCTTAACAGGCTGGAAGATTTGTCTGCTTTGACAGCTGATGGTTTATCCCTCTATCATTAAATGCATTATTTCAAGACAGTGGAATGATGGCATCAGGTAACAGGAATGGCTATTATCTATATTCTTGCCATTTTGAATGTAATTATAAAAAATAGAAACCRGCAAGTAGTACATTAGTTACAAATGCAGCTTCAATGCATACCTAAATGTAATTCATTTAACTTCCAAGGTTACTGTGACTCTGCCTGAGGTCTTCCCTAGCACTGTGACTCCTCTTGTATTCTATGTAACTGACCTCAACACATCCACAAACCAGACAAGGGGCTCTTTTAAAAAAAGTATTGCAAGAAAAAGAGCAGAACCAGATTATTTAAAATAGTTAGGTGTTTAATGATAGGAATAGTATTAGATAACAGAGTTATTACAAACCTGGCACTTACCTTTGCATGCAAGACAATGGCCTTGGACCYTAGGGAACTATCCAGTGGATCTGCATCTGAATTACACTCAACAATTTTAATTTGAGGTGTTCAAAGAGTGCTAATTTTATCTTAAAATCAGAGTCATCATGCAGAGCACTGGTCTATGTGTCTGATGGGAAGTACCCATGCTCCACTGAAAATTCTGTTGTCTTGAAATCAGTTGAGATTRTTTCAAAGTTTCTTCATCATACTACATATGGACAAGACAAATCTGGTCTGTTTTCCTGGAGCTTCCAAACTACTCAGCTCAGTCACATAAACCTGGCCAGATTTAATATGCAGAGCTCACACCCACTTTAACAGAATGACTTTATAGGAGACATGATCCAGTGTATGCAAACCAGCCTAGATTTTGAAGTGTTGAGCTCCTTAGCACATCTGGCCATCAGTGTCATTTGGTCTCAGGTGTCTTCTAGTTACACCTCTGTTTTGGTTCTCTTACTTTCATGCTTAGCAAAGAACTGAGGGACTTACTCATTTCCTTTCCATTATTTCTTCTGCATTGCTTATTGCAGAATATAGGCTTAGATCAAAAAGGAAAAAGCAAACTCTAATCTGCAAGTTATGAGGTTAGGAAAAGTGACGTGACTGGTCTATGAAAACTGCTGTGTAAATGTGAGATGAAATTAGATTACTGTGCCTTTCATAACCCCCTAGTCTTTCAGTAGTGAAAAGAAATCTCCTTTATTTCACTAGCTTATTGCTTTGATGTTTTGTGTCCCAAGGGCCTCTGTTTCAACTTTTCCTCAATCCTCTAAATCTTGAAAATATATTTTTATCTTTTTCCATCTATTTCACAGATCAAGTGAAATTATGCCTTCACCTTCTGTCATCCAACCAAATTCCATCACTGCTAAAACCCACCGACAGTTCTGACAAGGCAGGTAAGTGATGAATACAACAGTGATTGAGCTGTAAAGCAAACCAAGTGCAATGTCTTCTTCTCGTGTAAGGAAAGCTTTCTCCTCGGTCACGGACGAAGACTTAGGAACTGTAATTGGTCATGAATAAAGTGAGAACCTAATTGCCAAATTGAGCATGAACTTACCCACACTCATTGGGCAGTTTGCACACACATTGTGACTGATGTACTTTCTCCCATGGCTGACATTTAGGCTCTGGCACTTCTGGCACTTCTGGCTTCACAGTGGGCACTGAAGTAGAAGAATACAGTGATATTACAGGTCAGAAAAACAAGGGCTGTTAGAGGTCTAGTCTGAAATTATCAGCTGAGTTTAAAAGACACTGAATGATACAATCATGACATAAAGTCACATCCTACATGGTCATTAAAAGTATCTATAACAGGGAAGTAATCAACAGTATTAAGAAGAYATGATACTCATTGTAATGTTACTGTACAGTAATTTATCCATGGGTCATCAATCAGATGGAAAGAGACAGGTACTATGTTAAAGCTTAAACATGCATCTCATTTCTGCAGCAGTTATTTGTTTCTGCTAAATTTAGCACTGCTGAATCATAGCTGAGAACAGTTTTGTCACTAAGTTGCAGAGATTCTGACTTCACTGTTGTCACAAGAACAGCTAAGGTTTCAAACCCCTATGTGAACCCAAATATCTTTATACACTGATGATATTGAAAACTACAAGTTC